TAGGAGTATAAGAGCTGGAGTATATCATAAAGAGCTGGAATACCAGGAGTTGGAGTACAGGTTGCTTGAGAAAAAGAAACTGGAGTAGGAGTACAGGAAACTAGTGTAGGAATACAGATAACTGGAGTAATAGGAACTGGAGTTGGAGTACAGGTTGCTGGAGTAAAAGAAACTGGTGTAGGAGTACAGATAGCTGGAGTACAAGAAACTGGAGTAGGAATACAGATAGCTGCAGGAACTGGAGTAGGAGTACAGATAGCTGGAGTATAAGGAATTGGACAAGGAGTACAGCTATACCTAGAGTACAAGGAACTGGAGTAGGAGTACAGATATCTGCAGTGCAAGGAGCTGTAGTAGGAGTATAAGGAGCTGAAATACAAGGCAATAGAGTACAAGGAGATGGAATACAAGGCGATAGAGTACAAGGAGCTGGAATGGGATGTGTTGGAATATAAAGCGATTGAGTAAAAGTGCAAGGAACTAGAGTAAGAGTACAAGGGGCCAGAGTAGAAGTACAGAAACTGGAGTAGGAACATTATTAAAATGACACGAAATATTTCAAATTGTAATTTTTAAAAGGATATGAATTAAATGAAAGATATAATAAATAGTTGGAAAAGGTTTTTATAAAGTTTGCTAAATATTCAAGTTTTCAAATTTGGGAATATATTCCTTCCTATCTCTGAATCTCCAATATGTTTCCATAAATCGGAAATTTAAAATCTTTCTAAATATCTCTGCTCCGCTCAACATCTAGAGCTAGGGAAAAACAGGAATAGAGCTAGTGGGAAACAGTAATAGGGCTAGGAGGAAACATGAATAGAGTGGGAGGAAACATGAATAGAGGGTGGGGAAACAGGAACCAAGCTAGGGGAAACAGAAACCGAGCTATAAAGGGGAAACAAGAACCGTGATAGGGGGAAACAGGAATAGAGCTAGGGGAACAAGGAATAGAGCTAGGGAGTAAGAATAGAGCTGGAGGGAACCAGGAACCGAGCTAGGGGGAACAGGAACCGAGTTAGGGGGAAACAGGAATAGAGGTAGGCGTTAACAGGAATAGAGCTAGGGTTAAAAAAGATTAGAGCTGGGGGGAAACAGGAATAGAACTAGAGGAAACAGGAATAGAGCTAGCTAGGTGGACAGAAATAGCGCTGAGGGGAAACAGGTATAGAACTAGAGGATACTGGAATAGAGCTAGGGGGATACAGGAATAGAGCTGGGGAGAAACAGGAATAGAGCTAGGGGATACATGAATAGAGCTAGGGGATACAGGAATAGAGCAAGGGGGATACAGGAATAGAGCTGGGGTAAACAGGAATAGAGCTAGGGGATACAGGAATAGAGCTGGGGAGAAACAGGAATAGAGCTAGGGGATACATGAATAGAGCTAGGGGATACAGGAATAGAGCTAGGGGGATACAGGAATAGAACTGGGGTAAACAGGAATAGAGCTAGGGGATACAGAAATAGAGCTAGGGGATACAGGAATAGAGCTAGGGGGATTTAGGAATAGAGCTGGGGGGTCACAGGAATATAACTGGGGAAAACAGGAATAGAGCTAGGGGAAAACAGGAATAGAGCTAGGGAGAAACAGGAATATAACTGATGGGAAACCGGAATAGAGCTGGGGAGAAACAGGAGTAGAGCTAGGGGGAAACAGGAATAAAGCTGGGGAGAAACAGGAGTAGAGCTAGGGGGAAACAGGAATATCGCTGATTAAGTTTCAATTGTTTTAGACATCTTGATGGCAATTTTCCAGGGCTTTTACCAATGGTTCAAAATAAGTTTAACTTTCTAGAGAATGAGTAGGTAAATTTAGGACACGACTTTAGCTTGTTACATTTAAAGTTTTCAACTCTCAGTGTTTTTAGTTTATAAAACTAGTGTCTGTAACTTTGTCTGTCTGAATTATATCTTCTTATTGTTAAACATTTTAATACATTTCCTTGTGACAGTTCTTTATTTAACTAAGTTAAAAAGCAAACATGACTTGACAATTTTAAATAATGTTTTAATCTGTCCTTTTGTCTATTCTTTATCTTTGTTCAAAAAGGTTAAATCAAAACAAACAATTTATTCACGCTTTCTAAGAATATAAAGTTAGACTTTGGTCCCAGATTGAGATTCAAAACAAACATACAGTGAGACCCAAAAAGATGTAATTAAACAACAATTGGAGTGGAAATATTTAATTCATTTGCTGCAGGGTTACTAGAAACTTGGACTATAATGACAATCTTAAAGGATTTAAAGAAATAGGAATGTCATGTTCAAAACACAACGGTACGCTTTCAAGCTTTGTTTGAGCAGAAATAAGATTGTTTTCTACAGTGAAACCCTTAATAACGAATACATCGAAAGAATTCATCAAATGTCGTATTCTTCACTTTCTGATTATGGATATTTAGATATTTAGTTTTTTAATTAAATGATTATATGGAACTCTTTAAAACTGTTCCCGCATATTCATGGCTATTTATTTATTTTCGCAAATACTGAAATTTACGTAATATAGTATAAAACTCATTGAAAAATTGTCAAGAAGATATTTGATAAATTCGTTATTAAGGGTTTCACTGTAGCTAAAAATTAAGAATTCTCATTTGCAGTTCTTTGTAAATGCAACTTATGGAATGTGGATTTAAAAGCAGCAAAGATAAAAATGGAAAATGAGAGAATAAATATTTTATGAAACCGGAAAACGAGGATATCTTCATAATTTCTAATCTCATAAAGGGTTAAATGGTACAGTTTAGAATCGGGCAAGAAAATTCACTTGAATTTGTTGAGAAATATCGTTGCTCGTCTCTTTAATCCTTCAAAATTTCGAAATTGATCTATTATCTTGAGATCCTGTACTGCACGCAAAATAAAAGAAAATATAACTTTTTCAAAATAAATGATTTATTAACTTGTGAAGGAAACAATTTGACAATAAATAAATTTATATAATTTTAATTTAGATTTGAAAATTTAATTTTTTGATAAGCCATTTGAAGGTTAAAATTGTGATTTAAAACCGCCTTGAGAATGACATTCTTTTATGCATGAAAGCTCTATTTTTAGTCGAAGAATTCATGTTTTTTTTCAAAAAATTGATATAATTATTAATTATAGAACTATGATCTTGGCATTATTTCTATGTGATACTAGATAAGAAGTTCAGAAATAATTCCAATTATTTGGCAGACACCAGTAGACACAGATATACCACAGTTCTAGATTTACACCAGTAGACACAGATATGCCACAGTTCTAGAACTACACCAGTAGACACAGATAAACCACAGTTCTAGATTTACACCAGTAGACACAGATAACTGCAGTTAACAGTTTGCTCTAGACTGCAGTAAACAATTTGCTCTAGACTGCAGTAAACAGTTTGCTCTAGCCTGCAGTAAACAGCTTGCTTTAGACTGCAGTAAACAGTTTGCTCTAGACTGCAGTAAACAGTTTGCTTTAGACTGCAGTAAACAATTTGCTCTAGACTGCAGTAAACAGTTTGCTCTAGACAGCATTAAACAGTTTGCTCTAGACTGCAGTAAACAGTTTGCTCTAGACTACAGTAAACAGTTTGCTTTAGACTGCAGTAAACAATTTGCTCTAGACTGCAGTAAACAGTTCGCTCTAGACTGCAGTAAACAGTTTTCTCTAGACTGCAGTAAACAGTTTGCTCTAAACTGCAGTAAACAGTTTGCTCTAAACTGCAGTAAACACTTTGCTCTAAACTGCAGTGAACAGTTTGCTCTAAATTGTAGTAAACAGTTTGCTCTAGACTGTGGTAAACACTTTGCTCTAGACTGCAGTAATCAGTTTGCTCTAAACTGCAGTAAACACTTTGCTCTAGGCTGCAGTAAACAGTTTTCTCTAAATTGTAGTAATCAGTTTGCCTAGGCTGTAGTAAACACTTTGCTCCAGACTGCAGTAATCAGTTTGCTCTAGACTGCAGTAAATAGTTTTCTCTAGACTGCAATAAACAGTTTGCTCTAGACTGCAATAAACAGTTTTCTCTAGACTGCAATAAACAGTTTGCTCTAGACTGCAGTTAACAGTTTGCTCTAGACTGCAGTAAATAGTTTGCTCTAGACTGCAGTAAAAAGTTTGCTCTCGACTGCAGTAAACAGTTTGCTCTAGACTGCTGTAAAAAGTATGCTCTAGACTGCATTTAACAGTTTCCTTTAGACTGCAGTAAATAGTTTTCTCTAGACTGCAGTTAACAGTTTGATTTAGACGTGCCACGCCACTACCTACAGAGCAGGCGTGCAGTACAACCACCTACAGGGCAGCAAGGAGGATTTAAAGATAAAATTTTCACTCTTGTTAAACAATTTTAAACCGTTAAAACGTCTTAAATAAGTCTCACATGAATTCTTAAAAATGTCTCTACAATACTACCATTTCAGCTCAACTATACCATATCTACGCCCTCACTCACTTTAAGTTTGCAAATTTACAAATGGAAGAGGAAAATGGAAGAGGAAAATCTTAAGATATTCTATAACCCTACTTTGTGAATGCAATGCATATTTATTTAAGTTAAGAGCAATGAATAAATTTGGAATTTAAAATGCATTGAAAACTTCTAGGATAATTCACATTTATTCTTTAACTTTGTCAAGCTTTACCATCTATTCTTGAACCCTTGTTCTATAAAGTTTATATAAGAGTTTATGCCTTTAATTTAGATTATTAAATCAAAATTAATTTATATTTTCTGTTTTAATTATTTTGAGTTTTCTCCTATATACAACCCATCCACGGCAAAGGTTTCAAGGGTATCGTTGTGAATTGCACATATAATCTTTTAAATGGATGGCTACTTGAAAATTTCTTTCACATGTTGAAAGGGGTTTCTCAAAGATGATTTTAGAAATAAAATTAATAAAGTAATGACAAAATAAGCTCATGCGTCAAATCCTTTGGTTTATACATTCTTTGCTGATACAGCTAGTTCTCCAGGATTTCTCTTCAGCTTTGTTCTATTAAATTCTATTACTCACCCTGAGTTTTGATCCTGGACCAGAGAACCATGTCTTGGAATAATTATCCGGGGTAGGTAGAGCTGGACATTCCGTCGGGCTTTCCGTCCTAGATTTTAACAAGGATTAGTATGCGAACTAGATTATAACAAGGATTAGTATGCGAACTAGATTATAACAAGGATTATTATCCGTCCTTGATTTTAAGAAGGATTAGTATGCGAATTAGATTATAACAAGGACAAGTATCCTTCCTAGATTATATTAAAGATTAGTATCCATCCTAGATTATATTAAAGATTAGTATCCGTCCTAGATTATAATAGAGATTAGTATCCGTCCTAGATTATACTAAAAATTAGTATCCATCCCAGATTTTATTAAAGATTAGTATCCGTTCTAGATTATATTAAAGACAACTATCCGTCCTAGATTATGTTAAAGATTAGTATCCATCCTAGATTATATCAAAGATTAGTATCCGTCCTAGATTATAATATAGATTAGTATCCGTCCTAGATTATAATATAGATTAGTATTCGTCCTAGATTATACTAAAAATTAGTATCCATCCTAGATTTTATTAAAGATTAGTATCTGTCCCAGATTATATTAAAGATTAGTATCTGTCCCAGATTATATTAAAGATTAGTATCCGTTCTAGATTATATTAAAGATTAGTATCCTTCCTAGATTATATTAAAGATTAGTATCCGTCCTATAGATTATACAAAAAATTAGTATCCATCCCAGATTATATTAAAGTTTAGTATCCGTTCTAGATTATATTAAAGATTAGTATTCGTTCTAGATTATATCAAAGATTAGTATTCGTTCTAGATTATATTAAAGATTAGTATCCTTCCTAGATTATATTAAAGATTAGTATCCGTTCTAGATTATTTTAAAGATTAGTATCCTTCCTAGATTACATAAAAGATTAGTATCCTTCCTAGATTATATAAAAGATTAGTATCCGTTCTAGATTATAATATAGATAAGTATCCGCCCCTAAATATGAAACCAGAAAAGTATCATGTTCTATGAAATAAGCATGTTAAAAAAAAAATTAAAAAATTGTCAGGACGCGCTGTAAATTTCTTTCAATTTGTCGAATTATCCGTTTAACTGAATTCCATCTGAATATTTAGATCTTTAAATATTTTGATAAATTTCCATATTCAAAAACGACCTTTTCATCCACAAAATGTAAACACAAATTGACATTCAAAAACAAAATAAATTATATCATTTTTAGAATATTTTATCAATTAATGGAAAGCATTTGAATAAAATCAACACTAAAAGTAAAACAATTTCGTACAAATAAAAAGCTTTAGCTTTACCATAAACCAGGTTTTAGCTTTACCATAAGCTGTTTTTTTTCCATTCAATTTCTACCATAAACTGGTCTTAGTTCTACTGTAAACTGGTTTTAGTTCTACCGTAAGCTGGTTTTAGTTCTAACATAAACAGATTTTAGTTCTACCATAAACCATAAAACTGGTTATCGCTAACAATAACAGGTTTGTCTCTACCAAAGACTGGTTTTATTCCTATCATAAACTGGTTTTAGTTATACCATAAACTGGTTGTATTTTTATCATTAGCTGGTTTTATTCTTAACATGAACAAGTTTTATTCTTAACATGAGCAAGTTTTATTCTTAACATGAACAAGTTTTATTCCCACCATAAACAAGTTTTAGTTTTACCATAAACTGGTTTTAGCTATACCATAAACTGGTTTTATTTATACTGTAAACTGGGTTTAGTTCTACCATAAACTGGTTTAGTTCTACCATAAACTGGTTGTTGCTACCATGATAACTGATTTAGTTCAACCATAATTTGGTTTTATTCTTACCAAAAACTAGTTTTATTCCTACCATAAACCGGTTTTAGTTCTACATAATCTGTTTTTAGTTATACCATAAACTTGTTTTATTCCCACAAAAAAACTGGTTTTATTCCTACCTATAAACTGGTTTAGTTCTACCATAACTTGGTTTTATCCTTAGTTCAAGCTGTATTCAAATTAATCGAAATGCACTAATGTTTGAGTAAAATTATATTAGGTACTAGATTCCACAGTTAAATATAATTAAAACGGAGAATTCTTATAAAAGGAGTTTAAGGGAAAAAATAGAAAGTTACGTTAATATTCTTTTATATCCAATAAAGGGATATTTTGTTAGTTTACGGTAATTTTAATTGCATTCGTAAAGAATGAGGGGAATACCCGATCTACAGCAGTACCCGTAAAATTTTAATAGACAAACCACAATCGAAAATAATCAATTTTCAAAGAGGATATGATCAACGAGGTTATAGTATATAGAGTGATGATCTACGCTAATCCTTTACTAAATTGTACAGGATTACATTTTCACAGGAAGACGTAATATTACAGTCTTACTCTTTTACAGTGCAATTTTTCATCAATAATAAACGGTTCTGAGAAAACTGAGTAAAATTCAAGATATGAAACCCCCCCCCGTACACTTTTACTCCGAAAGCGTACTGCATGATTAGGCCATAATCTCTTAATATCCTTAAACTTTCCGAAGTATACACTTGGGCTATAATACACACAGACAGGTACATGGTGTCCCGCGAAACATGACAGTTGGTGAATAGTTTAAAATGCCTTCTTCCATAATATGTCAAGTTGTTTGTTACCAAAGAGAGTAATAATAAATATTTTATGGCATCCATATTATAGTCAAATTGATTTCTAAGTAAAATATATTTTATTAAAGTTTTTAAAAACTTAACAAACTGCAAAAAGTCTTAAATATCAAATACAGTATATGGAAGAAGACATTCAAAACTATTCATCAACTGTCCTGTTTCATGGGACACCCTGTAGCTAGCTGGATATGATGGATATCTCATGCATTCTTGATCAGGCAAAGCTTGTATGGGTACCATTGCGAATTGGACATGTCATTTTTTTAAATGGAGATTTCATACTTGTTTCATAAATAAAAATTCATCGATTTTTTCGTAAAATCTAACAATTTTTTTATTAAAGTAACTATTTAATTCAATTGATAAAATAATTTATTCATCTATCTGAAAATAACTTTTCTCACTCTGGAGTTTAAAATGTAATGAATTGTATAATAATAGGCACTTAGTCTGGTTTTCGCCCTTCTATGAGTAAAATAATAGCTTCTAATCATAATTGAGATAAATGAAAAGAGATATTTTACAGACTGAAACGTGTCGCATCTCTGGAGAAGTTTTCTAATTTTTCTCTTAATGTTGATATTTATCATCTACTCTTTTGAAAATTGATTATTTAAATTGTGATTTCTCTATTAATTTTATGGTAGAACTATAGTTGCACTATTGGATTCATATCTGTTAATATATGAAATATTGTCGGCAGAAACATTAATCAAACCTGGTGGGTCGTCTTCGTCAGGTAGTACGTCAGTAGCCTCAGCAGCCTAAATTTAATGATAATAATGATAATAATAATAATAATAGTAATAATAATAATAATAATAATACCACAATAAATATTTGTTTAAAATATATTGTAGAAAACCCTGACTATTCATAACATACAGTGAAACCCTTAATAACGAATACATCGGAAGAATTTATTAAATGTCGTCTTCATAATTTTCAATGAGTTTTATACAATATTACGTAAATTTCAGTATTTGCGAAAATAAATAAATAGCCATGAATATGCGGGAACAGTTTTAAAGAGTTCCATATAATCATTTAATTAAAAAACTAAATATCTGCAACATTCCATTATCAGAAAGTGAAGAATACGACATTTGATGAATTCATTCGATGTATTCGTTATTAAGGGTTTCACTGTATGTACGGTAGAATGTTAAGTATATTTATTCATTTATCTTATCATAAATCTATTTTTTATATTTATTTCATTCCTTCAGAATATCTATTGATAAAAATCAGTCTAACAAGCATCATATTCCAGGCTTTCTTTCCTCATTTATTCTCAATATACAGATTACAGGGTGTTCCATAATAATATACAGATTACAGGGTGTTCCATAACAATATACAGATTACAGGGTGTTCCATAATAATATACAGATTACAGGGTGTTCCATAATAGTATACAGATTACAGGGTGTTCCATAATAATATACAGATTACAGGGTGTTCCATAACAATATACAGATTACAGGGTGTTCCATAATAATATACAGATTACAGGGTGTTCCATAATAATATACAGATTACAGGGTGTTCCATAATAATATACAGATTACAGGGTGTTCCATAATAGTATACAGATTACAGGGTGTTCCATCATAATATGCAGATTACAGGGTGTTCCATCATAATATACAGATTACTGGGTGTTCAATCATAATATACAGATTACAGGGTGTTCCATAATAATATACAGATTACAGGGTGCTCTATAATAATATACAGATTACAGGGTGTTCCATCATAATTTACAGATTATTTTTATATTTATGAAGTTATGGAGAGACAAAAATTGTGTTTCCTCGAATTTGGATATTTTTTGACCGAATTCCCAAAAACGGGAATTAAACTTTGTTCAAAATCCCCTTTTTTAAAGTGTTATACAAACTTTAAAATCAGGAAGGAACAAAATGTGTTGATTTTGACAAAAATGTGTTGTATTAAGGGATACGAAAGCCTCATCTTCTATAGATAATATTTTTATTTCGCGTTTAAAAACATTATCTTAACAATCACCTGTAAAGTGAGAACCAGAGAAACTGTGGACTGGAAAAAATGACATTATATAACAATATGTTAGTGTATTTTATTTGCTATAATTGCTGTGTCTCATTGCATTTGACTGTTAGAAGTCATAATTTTAGTCTAAAAGTCGTCTTCCTATTCCATAGTTTTCTGGTTCTCACTGCATGTAATATAAGCATTTTTTACATGATTGGCCAGGGGGGGAAATGATGAAATTCCCCTTTAAATCAACAAAACAAGAGAAAAATAAACTGAAGAAATGTTGTAACGAGAAATGTTTTGCATTCTTAGAGTTCTTTAGGCTATTAGGTCTGTGTCGGAAACTTAAGAGAGCTTCGATGAACAAAACTCGGTTTTGGAATTCAGATTTAATGTTTCTTTAGATTATTAAAAGTTCTAAGATTCTAAGATTAGTGAATTGAAAAATTAGATGAAAACTTTGTTAATACCTTTGGGGATATGAGATTTATTAAATGGGTCTTTCATTTATTCAAAACTAACATGATTTCCAATTTTTATACTTAGAAAAGCAACTTTGTCAGTCTTATCCCTCAACCATACTTTCTGTAAAAAATTAATCGGGTTTTGATTATTAAGTAAGTTCTGTGGATTTAAAAGTTATTTTAACTATTTCTCTTATTTAACGTATCTAGTTATAAAGAGATCCTTATGATTACGTGTAAAAAGCAATCTTATGTTTTACCAATAGCTTGAACATCAATTTATTAAGTAAAATTGTCTGTTTACAGTGCACAATTGCCGTGTTTCATTTCAACGGACTATCAAAAATTGACTTAATCACAACAGTCGTCTTCTTATTCCACATTTTTATGGGTAGCACTGTATTTTGAATGGATAAACAGTTATTAAACAATCCCTTTATTAAAAACTTTTCCAAAAACGTTTCTCCGAATTTGTTTCTCACATCAATTTAAACCAAGTCTTAAGTTTGAAGCTTGAAAAGAGTTTACTACATTTTACTGAAATTTGAGATCTGAGATATTCATTATTCATGCCTCAGTATTATTCTTACATGTAAAGTAGATTAATATACTTTGAATAGATTTTTAGAGAACTAAAGGGAGTGTTTAAATTTTCAGAGATGGGGTCCAGGATAAATAATTATTCATCAAGAAAATTAGGGGCTTTAAGCGAAATTTTTAGTGGTTTTTTTCAAGATTTGCATCCCCGATTCACAACGGTACCCTTTCACACTTTAACTAAGCATCGAGGACAGAGAACTGTGTTTATCTCTTAATGTTTGTGTAAAAAGTCCTGAACATTTACAGAGCACCTTTATATGGGTGACGCAAAGAGGAAAAATTGCAAAAATAAAACAGCTGATCATGTTTCAAGATGTCACCACAATCTTCTCATTTTATTTTATTAACTCTGCTGCAGACTCTGTCAATATTTCTCTAGTGCAATACTCAACGTTTAATTAATTTGCTTTCTCGCGTTTAAAAGGACTGAAGATGTAATTTCAGGTGACTCTCCGTTGATAATAGCAAATCCGATTCACAACGGTACCCTTTAAAAGCCTTTTTGATTAAGAATTAATGAGATATCTATGTTTTTTTCTTTAAATTGAATATTTCTTTTTTTATTTCAGTGTTCTATGCATTAGTAACTTGAGGATTCATGCTGCAGAAAAAATTAAGGAAATTGTCAAAATTGAACACTCTTCAAGAGAAAATTACGCTAACTTTCCTATCATTAATCAGATCAAGGGTGACGTTGTGAATCAGGCATGCCTCTCCTTAATTATTAAGAAATACTAATAAACACCAACAATTTATACATTCTTGACATTTATTATTAAAGAATAAGTTCGCAGTTTAGGATTTTATTATTCTTCTCCCTTTCAATCAAATTCAGTAAACTCTCAAATTTTTAAACTTATAATGAAAACTATATAAAGTACTTTAAACTAAAAACAATTTCAAAAATTCTAAAATATAATCCCTATACCTATCATCAAAGGCCCCCTTTCCCAAAAAAATCGTGAAAATGGCAATTTTGGAGATACATTACACTATAGTTTCAGCAGAAGTAAATATTTCCTTTTACTGAAACCGCCGATTGAAGGATTCATAACTCTAATTGGATAATGAGATAGATAGAAAGATAGATGTTACCGCTATACTATTTCTATTGGTTCAGAATAGACAACAAACACATGACTGAACTCTGATTGGATCAGGCTCTAATGGACTCGGCAGACAGGAGTGATTAAGTGCATAGCTACCCCGTAGTTATTTACCTCGCAAGCTTCGTTCATCAGAAAACTTCTTCTTCTAGATCCTTGGTTTCTTGGGACACCCAAGCTAAACATAGAATAGAATAGAATAGAATAGAATAGAATAGAATAGAATAGAATAGAATAGAATAGAATAGAATAGAATAGAATAGAATAGAAAATAGAATAGAATAGAATATAAAATAGAATAGAATAGAATAGAATAGAAACAATATGTCTATTTTCCAATATGTCTATTTTCCAATATGTCTATTTTCCAATATGTCTATTTTTATTTTGATCAGGAAATATACTTAGCTCATGCTTTAAAAACTCGATATATATATATATATAAATGCGAACAGGATGAATTTTATGAAACAAGTTTAGTTTTTCGGAATAGAATAGCTGGTATAATATAAAGTACAGCATTAGCATATGCAAAGTGTCATTTTTCTTAGATTAATCGTTTCAACACGGAAAATCCTTCTCTTCGGTTCTTCCAACTAAGTGCATCGACGATTTTTAAAATTCTATAAAACAGAAACCTGTGCTTGTATAATAATAATAAAGAATACTTTTTTAACGAAAATAAGGTATTTACGCCGTGAATCCAACCACTTTTAATCCCCTCGTCAGTTGTCCCTTTAATCTATAATATTGTCTGATCCCAGTAAACTATATATATTGTATCAAGTGAAGGATGGATTACAGTAGTTTTCCTCCAGGGGTTTTCTACTCGATATAAATCTTTGATTTGTCCAATACTCTCGTAACTTGACTATTTCTCAGCAGGAGCACCGGGGGAATTCTTTTCAACAAAATAAATAAAGCTTTGAGAAAAAATTAGATTACATATTGCTCATTCAGTGTTTATTAGTCTAAACTTGGATTTTCTTTTTACAACACACACTATGTAATCAGGGAACTTTATATCCCCCACCACCACCCCCCCCCCTCCTGACTGATAATTTATGTCTTTTAGACACTTTTCTTTAGTTGTAATATCGTTTAACATATGATTGTGGAACATAGTTTATATTGTTAATTGGAAGGATTAGGTATACTACTTTTATTTCAGGTCGATTTTGAAAACTTAAACTTGAAAACTAATCTTTCCTAGTTCAACAAATCGTTCCTAGTTCAACTTATCATTCCTAGTACAATTAATCGTTCCTAGTTCAATTAATCGTTCCTAGTTAAACTGATTATGCATAATTCAACTAATTGTTCCTAGTTCAACTAATCGTTCGAGGTTCAACTAATCGTTCCTAGTTCGACTAATCGTTCCTAGTTCGACTAATCATTCCTAGTTCGACTACTTCTCGTTCTTCATTTATTCCGACCTCTCAAGATTACAGTAAATCAAGATCTGTGATAAATGTTTTTTTATTTCGTTTTATTAAACAAATTATTCGTTTTATAATTATTGAGTCAAATGTATAAATTCATTTCTTATCATAAAATAGAGTACATTGCCGCTGAAACGTTTTATTTTATCTTATTTATATGTTGCCGTAAATCATCTCCAGCTCTTTATAATGTCCCATTATACGCTTCAGTAGAAAAGGGAGAATTTAGTGTATTTTAAGTATTTTTCTATTAAATAATTAATGTTTAACAAGACTCGATGTATAAGAAGATTTAAATGTTTTCTGTGGCTATTTCAATAGATTCAAATGATGAAAAGCAAACAACGTAATTCTTGTCATTTATAGATTTTTTTGTCATCACATTATAGAAAAATAAATCAAATCTTCTAAATGCATCATTCGTGTTTCTGAAAATAAAATCCGTCACAACAAGATATTTATTATTTTGCACTAGCAGAGAAAAGCTTGAAAATGGAACCAGAAAGAACTTTTGATTCTTTGCCACAAACTCTGATTTTCTAATCTTTATTTCTTTGAAACCCAATCTTATAAACCTTTGATAATTCAAACCTATATTATTTGATCTAACAGAACAAATAGTTTGAAATATCAAAGGTCTACGACATTGGAATCTAAAAATATAGGGATTAGAAAATCAGTGGTTGTTGCAAAGACTCAATTCCTTTTGATAAAAAATACGACAATTTAAAGCAAAAACTTCAAAATAGGATTTTCGTGATGAAGGAAAAGACACAAAATACCCGGAAAATAGTAAAATAAACATATTGTAAGCCAAACTCATACAGTGATAACCAGAAAACTATAAAATTGGAAAGACGACTTTACAGCATTACTTAAGTGTTTTGGATGTTGTTACAAAGGAAATGGTTTTACTAGACACTTATTAAATCACTGATTTAGTAAAAATAGGTCTGTTTAAACTTCACAATTTCTGTGTCCCATGCTCATTGGACTATTTGAAATTCATAAATGGAGTTTAAAAGTCGTCTTCCTATTTCAGAGTTTTCAGGTTATCACTGTATAGATGTCGCGTGTTTAAGATTTTATATTTCGGTAAAAATTTACCAAAAATGATAAACCATGAAGATCAATTTCAACAGTTTCGTGCAAGCATAATTTTTTCAATCAAAAGTTTAGTTTTAAGAAGAGAGAAACCTTTTATCAACATTTTTGAACGGTAACATTAATAATAAAAGATAATTTTAAAAAATTCCAAATTAATTTTCAAGTTTTTTATTTTATTTTGAAACACTCAAATTTGACTCTAACATGCATAAAATTTCATGGAAGCGAAGTGTAAAGTGTAAAAGGAAAAAATTCACTTTGATCTGCAGCGAAGTGTGAACTGCGCTAGGATTAAAATTAGTTTTACTAAGAAAAATATGAAAATAAAAATTCCCTCTACGTACTTATGAGTAATGAAACGAGAAAATACAAAATAGAAAATTTAGAAAAATTTTATTCTTAAAATATTTAAAATTTCATACTAAAGATAAAACTAATAAATCTTTCTAAAAGGGAGTGTCGCGAAAAATGAAAGGGGGTATAGGCTAAATGCGATAAAAAAGCGCTTTTGATCGCCACTAATCTTACTTCTATCTGTTGCGTCTATAAGGAGAAAATTGATAAAGACGTCTCATACCGAAGAGCGTAGCGCCCATACAAATTGAGGAAGTTGGAACATACGACTTAGACCGTAACAAAATCAAATTAATATCAAACAAATCATTCAGATATTACAACCTATAGTCATCGATTATCTTTCGCCACATTTGTATATATTTAATATTTCATACTAGTTTTGATTTTGTTTTTTAAAATAATATTTAGCTTACAACTTGTTTTCGAACATTCCTGGAAAATATGAAAATGGCGTCTTCATTACCAAAAATCCTCGAAACAGGAATAAACGTTTTTATAAGTAACTCTCAGATCATAACAATTAAAACATATTATGAAAAATCAACTATATATAAATGTGGCGAAAGATAATCGATGACTATAGGTTGTAATATTTGAATGATTTGTTTGAAATTGAATTGATTTTTTTACGGTCTAAGTCGTATATTGCAATTTTCTCAATTTGCATGGACGCCATGTTATTCGGTATGAGACGTCTTTAACAATTTTCTCCTAATAGACGCAACAGATAGAAGTAAGATTAGTGGCGATCAAAAGTGCTTTTTTATCGCATTAAGCCTATACCCCCTTTCATTTTTCGCAAACACTCCCTTTAAGAAAGAAAGAAGGTGAAGTTTCTGAACGAAAGGTGAAATAAACTGAGCTCTTCATTCTAATTTTTAAACCTTAAATCTTGATTTTGTAGATCGACAGAACTATGAATTCTGCTAGATCAAGTAATTAAGGTTTACACCATCAGGTTGCAAAAATTAAAGGTAGGAAAAATTCTAGGTCTCTGTAAGTATTCAGTTTCTTGTGGATGCAATTTCAAGTGACCTTCCCTTTAAAGAGTGGTGTGTCCGATTTACAACAACATTTTGCCTGATCAAGGATGACAAAGTTTTCCTAATTTAATCTGGAAAAACTTAATTGTTGATAACTTAATTTGATCAGACATAATGAGAATAAAGTTAACAGGGTACCATTGTGAATCAGACAAGCAACTCTGCAGTTTCTTTAAGATCATTGGTGGAAAGGTTGGCATTTCAAACTATGCAGAATAAGCTTCAAGGCCTTAATTAAGAAAGAAGAAATATGAAAGTGCTTAAACGAGGAACTGAAATCTAATTTTAAAACTTTTCCTGAAAATAACATTAAAAAATTTAGAAATGTTGCTCCAAACGTTGGGAAAATGTTGGACTATTTCCGCCATCAATCTTTAGATAGGATCAGGGTAGAACAGGTTCAAGGTACGGATATAGGTTGAATCAGAGAGGTATAGAATCGGAGATTGGTTAGTTCGGAGATTCGTCGGAATTTAAACAATTGGTTCGGAGCTTGGTTGGATCGGATACTAGTTGGACCAGAGATTGATTGGGTCAGAGATTGGCTGGACCAGAGATTGGTTGGGTCAGAGATTGGTTGGATCATAGATTGGTTGTGTCAGGGATTGGTTGGGTCAGAGATCAGAGATCGAAAGGTTCGGAGATTGGTTGGATCGGATATTTGATGGATCGGAGATTGGTTGGACCGGAGGTTAGTAAGATTGCAGATTGGTTGCGTCGGAGATTGGTTGGAACCGAGTTAACTTGGATTAGGTCATATATTGGAGAGATTGGATGAGTTAAAGATTGATAGTGGTTTGGTTAAAGATTGATAGGATAAGAGATTGGTTGGGTTGAATATTAAAAAGATCAGAGGTTGGTTGGATATTGATAGGATCGGAGATTGGTTCGGTTAAAGATTGATAAGATCATAGATTGGTTGTGTATTGATAAGATCGGAGATCGGTTCGGTTGGGTTTTGATAGGATAACAGATTGGTTGGGTTGAAGAATTACAGGATTGGAGATAGGTTCGATTGGACATTTATATAATTGGAGATTGTTGAGTAAAAGATTGATAGGATCAGAGATTGGTTGAGTTAAAGATTGATAGGATCAGAGATTGGTTGGGTTGAAGATTGATAGGATCAGAGATTGGTTGAGTTGAAGATTGATAGGATCAGAGATTGGTTGGGTTGAAGATTGATAGGATCAGAGATTGGTCCAGTTAAAGATTGATAGGATCAGAGATTGGTCCAGTTGAAGATTGATAGGATCAGAGATGGGTTGAGTTGGGTATTGATATATGGTTGGTTGAGAGATGATTCTATCCTTTCCTAATCCTGGAGATCACGTCCAATCCAAAAATAAGAGAAGAAATAGAAAATGGAAAATATCAGATTTATTTATTTACATTTCTTTGTTGATCGGAAATAATATATTTTACGTACCTAACCATAGACATCTAACCACAAACATTTTATCGCGTGAAAAGTGTCGATTGGAAATTATGTGGAACGAATGGTCCTTCAAAGTTGAGACGTTAAAAGTTCTCGTGGTATATAATAAACAAAAAAAGTGAAGATTTAATTTCTCTTTTGATGGTTGGGTAAACATAGCTTTAAGTGTTCCTGGTAAAATTCCTTGGTTGTTTCCGAATTGGGAATATGGAATAATAGCTGAAGTGCCCGGCGTTGGCCGTTCAATTTAAAAAAAATCTATTTTTTTTAAATAGTTATATATTTTTTTAAATCAGTTTTTTGCCGATGTTAGCCCCATGCACACATGGGTTCCGGCTCTAAAAAAATCCGCCAATTAGGTCCATTCCATTGGCCAGCTATAGCTAATAAAATATATATATATGAGGTGAAGAGCTTTATTATATAGATATGTCGAAGTAAATACTCTAAGTGCAGGGATTAGTAGGGAAGTAGAGTACACGGTTACAGGAAAATATTTATTGATCAAAGGAAGATAATAGAATATTTGAGAAAAATAGTGAAAAAACGTTAACCATGTTAAAAAATTGCAACGATTACAATTTAGCGATCGTAAACGGCATGTTTAGGAATAATGCCCCTCGTTCACCATTTTTTATATACAATTTAGGAAGTACTCTAACTGGTCCTGTGGCCAGTTGGGGGGGGGGAGGTATCTGTCCATTAACCATCCATGCAAGTTTATAAAATATCCATGACCTGATAATTTTGTTGTTAATGACGACCTTAAAAATTTTTGATTAAATGATATGAAGGTTAACTTTTGTCTTCTGCTTAAATATTTATATTACTAGCTTAAGTGTCCGGCGTTCACCGTAGAAAAAAAATTTGAGTTTTGAAAAAAATTCGTTTTTTGAAAAAATAATCTTTGAAATTTTTAAATATATATAATACTATATATGAGCAAAGAGCTTTATTAGATAGATGAAATAATTTAACAAAGAAAAAAACCAATTTTACCGTGGCATGAAAGAATGTTAGGAAAAAACAGTTTACACCTAAATCTCATCTTTATTAATAACATTTTCTCCAACCATTTATATTAAAGAGACAGTAGACGTAATTTCAAGTGAACCTTAATTTATAGAATGGCTTGATCGATTCACAACAGTACCCTCTCAAACCTTGTCTTATCTAAAACTAACTTATCATTTTGAATTGTCATTTCTGTATAAATGTGACAACTACTAAATCATACTGCAGAATTAAGCTGAATTATGTGTACAGTTCCTTAAACCAGAATATTTTCAGCAAACTATCTGTTATTGATATACCTGAGAAGGGATGGATTAATCTTCATAATATCCAACATTTTCCTTGGATTACACGGAGTAGAATGTCCAGAGCTAGACAAGGAGTGGGTGGAGTCCCTCCTCCCTCCTCCCCATCCTCCAGGGAGAGAGGAGTCCCTTCCACCAGGATACATCTAGTCCCCTGAAATATAAGAATAAAGAGCCCCTGAAATATAAGAATAAAGAGCCCCTGAAATATTAGAATAAAGAGCCCCTGAAATATAAGAATAAAAAGCCCCTGAAATATTAGAATAAAGAGCCCCTGAAATATTAGACGTGGAAATGTCAGAAAGTATTTAATGTAAATAAACGGTGAACAGGTGCAGGTGGAGAAGAGAGAATATTAAACTTTCAAACATTAAATGTTTTTATTTCAATATTTCAAATATTTCATTTTATTTTAATAAAAATCTTCTTCTTACAGATTTCTGATTAATTTTCATTACATTCTTTTACTTCCATCCCTGTATCACTATGGCCTTGTATCCCAGTTTACCTTTCTCCCTGTATCCCTGTGCCCCTGTTTCCCTATATTCGTTTACTTGTGTATCCCTGTATTCCTGTATCATTGTATCCCTATATCCCTCTATCCCTGTTTCCCTGTATTCATTTACTTGTGTATCCCTGTATCCCTGTATCCCTGTATCCCTGTATTCCTGTATTCCTGTATCCCTGTATTCCTGTATTCCTGTATCCCTGTATCCCTGTATCCCTGTATCCCTGTATCCCTGTATCCCTGTATCCCTGTATCCCAGTATTCCTGTATCCCTGCATGAAGGTTTACTTCTGTGGCTTCCTTGTAAGTAAAAGTATAATAAAACTGCATAATTTATCTTGTAAGAATTTGATGAGTTTAAACCACTAAATCATCCCTGGTTCCTTTAAATAAAACTTGTGCAATGAAAAGACAAAAATAAACACAGGTTGCCCCCCCTTGCTAGCACCCCCCCACCCCCTCCTTCCTAAGAAAGAAAAGACAAAAAAACATAAGATGTCAGATTAAGAGTGCCAATCTTAAATTCGTTTTTAAGGTCGCGTTATTCGTTTGTAAACCTAATGATTTATTGAACTGTTATGTTATAAACTACAGGGATAGACTTCATTTATTAAGACTTATTTCCTACAATCAAGGTTCCCCCATTATTACTGGATATTATTTCTTTTCAATATCATTTTAGATCGTCAATAAAGTATTTATAATTCCTTTAGTCTGGGGGTCAATGTATCCTATACTATACGTACAATACATAGATATATCTTTCTTAAAAAATTGTGAAAATTTGGTGACATCTTAGCACAATATGAACAACATTCAAACGCAATTTAAACTTAAACTTAACCCCCCCCCCCTCACCCACCTTGTCCAAAAATAACTCAAGTTATTGAAAACTATAAAATAGAATTAAAAAAAGGTATTTTAAATTCTAAAAATTTTCTTTTAGAAAAATAAATATATAATCTAAACACTTATTTGTTATATCTTTTAAACTTTTTGTTCGACTTAAATTCTATGGAAAGAAAGGAAATGAGTCCTAAACTCTACTTTTCTAGATTTCTAATCTCTATATTTTTGCGAGCCAATTTTTTTTTGCGACCTTTTATATTTCAAACTATGAATTCTGTTGGACTAAATAATCTAAGTTTGAAATATCCAAGGTTTACATAATCAGATTGTAAAGATATAGAGATATAGAGATTGGGCAGTTTGAGTTTGTGACAAAATCTCAACTCCTTTATTTGAATCATTTTGCCAAATTGAACAGCTAGGAATAAAATGTCATCTCAAAAAGAATTTTTTTCTCACAATCATCCAAAAATAGTTAAGTAAAAGAGAAGATTAAATAAGAAAATATTGTACCAATTTTCGTCGCATTTTTTATTTAATTTTTTAATTGATAAAAATCGATATTTATATTTAAATATTTAGATTGTTCCGACGGAAAAAGACGGTTTTTTGATAATCCCAGAGCTGATACCTTTCAAGATACAACAATTTAGAATTTATACAAGAAAGATTTTAAAATGGAAATCTCCAATAGCTATATATTTTCGATATATAAGGAGTCCATAGAAGCCATTTCTTCTATCTCAGTACTTTGTGATCAAGGATCGATAAAAAAGGTTTCATTTGATCGATTTCTACAATTCAAGACACCTTCGGTTTTTTAAATGTCAATTTTCCTTTTCTATAGTATATTTCAGAACAGAAGGTTTTCAAAAAAACGGGTTTTGCCATATATTATATACCTTTTTGCCTTAAGTTTTTTTTACCACCTTGTTTTGTACAAACGCTAAATAAACAGGTTAAGAACTTTGAGAAATCTGCGAATAAATTTATAAAAAATAAGAAATTCAATAAAATAATGATAAGGAAATAATTGATTCATTGATTTCTTCATAAAATTCTATCGAGAAATATGTTCCTACACAACTAACTAGTTTGTTGTAGAATTTTTGTAGCATTTTTCATCCTCGTTATTGAATAATTTAAAAAAACGATTCTCATTATCATCCCTCCAAAATGGACAATCCAAGAAGATTTTAAAGATTGAATTTGCGCTCTAAAAATGTCTCTAAAATACTGCACTCTTAGCTCAGTTACCATGTCTAGCCGGTCTCTCCCTTTAGAAAAAATCCGATCCTGCTAAATATTTATCTTTTAAAAAATATAAAGGCAAGAATACCACAACCTCAGAAACCAAATATTCAAATTTGAAGACAACTTCAAAAAAGTGTTCGCTAAACAGTTAGGGCTGCAAGCTTTTTCAAACAACTTTAAACATTTTTTCCACATATTTTCTTCTCCAAAGCAGAGGTTTTCATCTTTCTTTCATTCTTCCTTATTCTTCCTTCCTTCCTCACCCATTCTTCCGTTAAAATCTTTTATTTTCCCTTCTTTCCTCTTTATCACTTTGTACTTTTCTCTTTTATTCTTTCTTCTTTCCTTCTTTTTTTCATTCTTTCTCCTTCCTCCTTCCTTTATTCTTTTTTCATTGTTCCTTTTTCCTACTTCTTTCCACAATAATTCTTCCCTCCTTCCTCTTCCTTAATTCTTTCTTCTTTCTACCTTCTTTGTTCTATTTTTGTTTTCATTCTTTCTTTTATTTTCCTTTTTCCTCTTTCATTAATCTTTCTTTATTTCTTTGTTGTTTTCTTTATTATTTTTTCCCCTTTCCTCCTTCTTTTTTTCCTTTTTCATTCCTTCTTTTTTCCTCTTCCATTCTCCCTTCTTTTCTCTTTCATCCTTCCTTCTTTCCTCTTTCTTCCTTTTTTCATTTTTCTTCCTACTTTAGTCTTTCTTTCTTCTTTTCTCTTCCATTCTTTCTTTCTCCTTTTCTCTTTTTCTTTTTCTTCCTCATTTCTCATTTTTCTTCCTTCTTTACTCTTTCTTTATTATATCCTCTTTAACTATTCATTCTTCATTCTTTATCCATTCTTTAATTTTTCCCCTTAATCCCTTCTTTCCTCTTTCTTTCTTTTAATCAATCCTTTATCTCCGTTAAAAAGACGATCACTTATGCGGATGCACTAATATTGAAGCACTTAGAAGGACGCGCTAATAATTAGGACGTTCACAGAGGACACACTGATGCTGATGACGTGAGGGAGGGAACCCCCAGACGCAATGAGCCTCCGCTATGCAGACACGAGCCTCCCAGATTTGCTAGGCAGACCGAGCCTCCACTGTGCAAACCAAGCCTGCGCTATGCAGACTGTGACTTCGCAATGTAGTAAACGAGCCTCCTCCATGCAGCACAGCTTTTTTAAATATTGCTTTTTCTGTGTAATGAAAAATGTTAACAATTTCTTTGACGTAGCGGCATAAGAAGTTTACTAAAGATCTATTGATTGCCATGATTAGAAACATATATGGACACATAAAGTGGTTTATAAGATTTATACTAAAACTTTAAACATTTCCTTCACGGGAAGGAAGATATTTGGAAAAATATTTCTGGGGTAAATTTAGTTTGTTTTGTTGTAATCTTTGATTTAAACCATACCTTTTTTGAAAAATGTTAAGATTTAAAAAAATGATACGAATTTTCTAGATTTAGTTTGAACTGCATAAAAAACGTATCGCTTAAATCAATGATTATAAAAGATGAATTGAAATTCAATTTGAAAAAAAAATCTTTTATTTAAACTTAAAACACAAGTTTAAAAAAAACCCTCCTGTATTACACAGGCACATTTTGATATATTGCTCATGCTCATTTCTGCATAGCGGAGGCTCGATCTGTCTAGCAAATCTGGGAGGCTCATGTCTGCATAGCGGAGGCTCATGGCGTACTAGGGTTCACTCCCTCATGACGTTCATTGAGGACTATTAATAATGAGGACATTCACTGAGGACAATTAATAATGAGGACGTTCATAAAGGACAATCTGATGCTGAGGACGTTCATTGAGAACACGCTGATGCTGCTGACGTTCACAGAGGACACACTGATGTTAAGAACGTTCATTGAGAACACACTGATACTGAGGACATTCATTGAGGACACATTTATAATGAGGACGTTCATTAAGAACAAGTCCTTTTGAGAGCTTTTAAGAGTATACAATTCAAGAAACAATATTGAGATGAAGATACTACTATGCTGTATTAAGAAGGAGCTATAAAGCTATATCACTGTAAGTCCCGACCCCAAAGGCGTACTCAGGGTTTTGTCCAAAGGTGGCTTAATTTTTTGTTTCTTTCTGGGGGGGGNAAATGTATAGAATATGTGTATTTACAAGATAGAAAATGTATAGAATATGTGTATTTACAAGATAGAAAATGTATAGAATATGTGTATTTACAAGATAGAAAATGTATAGAATATGTGTATTTACAAGATAGAAAATGTATAGAATATGTGTATTTACAAGATAGAAAATGTATAGAATATGTGTATTTACAAGATAGAAAATGTATAGAATATGTGTATTTACAAGATAGAAAATGAAAAAAAGATAAATGTAGAGAAGTAAGTTTTCCTAATTTTCCAATAAAAAGAGATATCTGTTTATTTTTTCTCTTCATGCACTTCTAAACCTCGGAGCACAATTCTGCGTTATTCATTCTATTCCAGACCAGATATTGGTTTTCATCAAAAAAGAAAAAGAACAATGCCTCAAACTAAATTTTTCTAATTCTCAAATATCTTTGCAACCTAATGGTCTAAACCTTTGGTATTTCAAACTTACATTTTTTGATCCAAAATTATAGAATTCATAGTTTAAAATAAAGATATTGGGATTAGAAAATCAGAGTTTGTGGCGAAGACTCAATTCCGTTCATGAAAATCCCCTTTCCGAGAATTACCTCGCTTTTAAAATATTCCACTGGAAATAATCAAAATAAGTTTAACTTGATATAATTTACATAAAAAAGCCATCGCAAATCTATGAAATATATCCTTTTTGTAAAGAAAACTTAAAATTTTTAAATTTTGCACAAGTTAAAAGTTGAATATTAAAATTTAAAACAATTTTATACAATTGTAAAGTAAATGTCACTAAAGATAATAAAATTGTTTCAGAACATCAGTTTGTTTTAAACATACTTTTGTTTGATTCATACAAAACGTTTTTCTTTTTCATTAAAGGGACTGTAAACGTAATCATAAGTTATCCTCCATGCAAAGAGATAAATGTCTGATTTACAACGGTACCTTTAAAACCATTGACTGATCATCGAGGGCAGAGAACTCCGTGAGTTTATCTCTAAAATGGTGTTCAAATTGTCGGAAAACTGAAATGTAGGCTAGCGTACTGTGTGAACTCAACGTAGCCATGAAGATTCAGATGTTCTCAAAATCCCAAATACTTAAAAACTTTAAATCGTGACTATTACATTTTTTTGTTATTATAAATCAAACTAATTGGCTAAAAAGGATTTAGACCGAAACTGCATTTTACCAGAAATTTTGTTTAATAATCAACGGAAAACTATTCATCAAATTCACAAAAAGAAGTGAAAACATTTACATCAAACTCTAATTTTCTAACTTGTTACAACCTGATATTGTAGACATTTGTAACTTTATAAATTCTGCCATAATCCAAGTTTACACCATCAAGTTTGAAAAGTATAAACAAAAAAAAAGAAAATTAGAGATTGATACAAGTATCTTGCTGCACTTCCTTTACAAGAGCATTAAGATTGCCTGAGTATTGTGTTCCTAATTTCAAAAATCTAAAATTACCATTATACGTATATTGTTGTTATCACAAATTCGAAATATAAGGAAGACGATTTTTCCGACTCAAATGCCATAGCCTTTTCTCAAGATGTGTGTATACACACGATCCATTTCCGCCATGAAGCACACACATGTAACCCTCGCTCCTTCTTTCCCGGCCTCACCCTCTACACACCCCAGGTCAGTCAGGTTAGGAGAGTTGAGCTAGTAACAGCTCCGACACAGGGAGCCTCTTGACGCAGATACTCAACTAGCAACAGACAGGCTTACCCGAGGGTTCCCAGTTTATCATGCACTCCACTTCCAGAGACAACATAATCGCTCAAATCCAGCATGATAAAGCCGCGATCTCTGCCTACTAGGTTGGATAAGCCCTGTTGTTCCAGTTCCTGTTGATCTGCTCCACCAACATGAAGCTCTACATCACTCCCATGAAGTACCCAAAAATATTCATCATTAATTCCTTTGTTAATTTCTAAATCAACCAATATTTTAACTCCGCCTTAAATGCAAATATTTCAAAACTTTCGTTTTTTTTAAATAAATGTTAGAAATATCCATTTTTAGATCTCTTTATTTTACTATAGTGACTTTTAAAGTCAACAATTGTGTATATATATTGCTTATTTGGGTCCAGTTTTTTGTGGCAACTCACATGACCCTGAAGATGTGCCAATATAAACTGAAAAGACTGCGAAATTTTTCTTCGGAGAAATTAAAATTAAACCTTAATTAAATTAAACCTTGTTAAACCTTAATTAAAGTAAACCTTGTTCAATTAAATTAAGAGAGTAAATGTTTTCTGAAAAAAATAATAAATAAAGTAAATATAAAATAATTAAATAAAAAAGTTTAGTCATGCAACATTCACTTCTTTAGGTAATTGCTCTTTAATTATTATTAGTATACTTAACACTTAGGCCTTGTAACATAATTACATGCAATTCAAACATACATTTAAAACATTAAACTCCTGAATTAAAACAATTTACTCGGCTGGTTTTGTTACGTACATGCAACAGAAGAGAAACTATCGGATTGTTATAAATATGTTTGCGGATTTCCTAATATCTAGAGAAATAGCGATACAAATAAAATCATCTGGACTTTTTTTCTAAACAACGTTGACTGCTTAACTATAATAAATTTACACACGGGCAGCAGTAGTACATTTGAATTTCCGAGCCGGGTCAACCTTTCCGTTCCCAGTTTGTACTGTACCTTGCTCTATGGACAGGACTAGCCGTTGCAACAAGGTTGACGCGGTCTGACTTTATGCTTAGGTTGAATTTACTTTTACTAAAGGGGCAGAGGTGCGTGTACAGGCCAACTTAAGTTTGCCATATGTACATAGACCTACATCTATATATATACTTTGCTCGTCAACCGTCTGTCCGTTTGTATCCAATAAACGTCAAAAAGTCTGAACCGAAAGGGTCCACATTTTTTTGGAGGTCTCGCATGACCCCAAGGAATGTTTATGGATGCTGCTAAAAATAACAGAAATAAAAAAATTTCATAAAATTTTGATTTTTCAAATCCGTGAGAAAAAAATCAATAAATCCACGAAATTTGTTTGTTATTGTTATTGATAATAGAAGAAGGAAAAATGCCGCAGATAGAGCAACAACAATTAAAAGTTGAAATCGAAGCCTAGTAAATTCATGCCTTGCTACTTAATATATTAGAATTGCATTGCAAGTATGTATGGGATTTGTGTAAAATTAAAAAGCTAAAAAATTTCATTTTAATATAAAGAGTTACATCATACAAACCTGTATTAACTGCTTTTGCTCTTGATGTTTTTTATTCTTTTAGTTTTCTCCTTGAAGGTTGTATACAGCAGGCTATAATACCATACTTAGATACGTCAAATACTGGATACTATATTTTTTATTCTGCTGGTGCTAGATACTGGATACTGTTTAACTGGAAACTAGATACTGGATACTAAAAATTCAAACAGATGTTAAAAAACACAATAGAATTTTCTATGCACTTTTAAAAACGTTAATACGCATTTTTCACTTTTTCACTTTGTATCTTGTACATAGAGCACAGAAGCACAAATTTCAACTGTACAATTTAGGTTGTACAATGTGTAGTACAACAAGATTTAGCAGTACAAAGTCATCTGCAGTACAATAGGCAGAATTCGTTTTGTTTAGAACATCTGAAAATAAAAATGTAGAAACATTAATATGTAAATGATATGTATTATATATTTATAACAAAAAGTATAAGGTTTATGAATGGAACTCTAACACTACATTTCTGCATCAAAAATATGAAATTGTTTGAAATATCAAAATATTCCACCATCAGTTTGCAAAGATACATTTTAAGATAAGATATTTAGAATTGTAGGCGAGTAATGATTTCTTCTACGTTCACAAGAAAATACCCAAAATTAAGATTAAAACAGTCCTTATGGTATTCAAGTTTCAATTATCCTATTTAATGGTTAAATTAAAGATGAATTTTATTATTATATATTTTATATTTATTATATACATTTATTGGAATCCAGCTTTCCCTGTTAAATAATATTCCTGTGGTTCTACCAAGTTTCCAAATCAAAATTTGAGGCAAATCGGGCGAGGGATTCATGAGTAACGATCGGACATTGACATAAGACAAACAGAGATTACCACTTTTTATATATATATATAGATATACTCGTGGATATTTATTAAGTGATGAAAACTGAAGATTGAAAAATTGTCTATGATTAGAGCTGAGAGAACTAAATAGAAGATGTAGACTTTAGAATAAACGGTTTTATCGGGAAACTATACTGCAAGCTTTGCAAAAATAATTTTCATGTAAGAATTAGATCGTTTGATTTAAAAAAGAAACAACATGGTTTGAAAGAAAATTTAAATTAATCAAAAAACAGTCCAAAATTTCTCGAAAGCAGTATGAAGCTATAAAGCATGTGTAAATGAAGAAAAATGCGGGAAAACGTTAAGCTTTGAATTCAGTTGAAGAGATAAATACAATTAAAGCCTAGGGTAAGAACTAGGCTTGAACTATTTTGGTGCAATGTTGAATATAAAGCTCAGAAAAGTTTTATAAAAGGTTTAAATTATTCTTATTTCAACTTAAAAGCATGAGTGAATTTTTTTGGCTCCTTTGAAACGATTGAGCCCAATCAATTGTACAATCTTTTTTGTTTCTATATATATCGTACAAGCAAATTGTATTAATTTTTGATTCAATAAAAATAAATTGATAAAAGGTGACATCGATAAATTTTGTGTTACGACTAAAACCTAATTTCGGAAACTTTTCATTTTTATCATTACTAGCCTTAGAGGGCGCTTCGCGCCCATCTTCTAAATTAATTGGGAACATGTTGTGTACATCGTAAAACAAAACAAAAATAATTCGCGGATTTTCACAAAAAATTTCGTGGATTTTCAAAATTTTAAAATATTTAATGAAGATCGAATTTTGATGGAGACAAATATTTAAAATTTCAATCATTCATAAACCTTCCCTGGAGTCCCTAGATGTCCCACAAAAAAATTGGGCCCGATCGGTTCAGTCGTTTTGACGTTTATTGGATACAAACAGACAGACAGACAAACAGACAGACAAGCCAAATTTATATATAGATTATCTATAGCTCCTCATTTGCAAATTTTTATTTTATTTTTATTAAAATACTTCTTGATTTCTCAAATCCGCAATAGAACTAGTAAAAATCCGCAACATTTTTCAGTTGCTTAAAAATGTTGATCATGAAACACGATGTTCAGCAAATAATTCAATAAATTCAAGATTTCTAAGAAATATTTTCTGGAGATTGAAAAAAAAGGATTTCAGTTTATTTTCAAATGATTTTTTCAAAATTTGTAAACTCAAATAACTGAAACTAAATTATTTTCGTTTTTAAAAAAGATTGGTCCAGGAGGATAATTAGAATTTGCCATGAATCAAGTCAACTTTGAACTGGTCTAATCATTAATGCTTCAAGTTCATTTCAATATAAATATTCAAATCTCAGCATTAAATCAGCGGAGTTATTTCATATTTTTTAACAAAATTTCAAATCCCCCCCCCTCCCTCCCCAATCCATGACTCTTGTGTACACTGGCCATGTGCCAACGACAAAAACACGTTCAAATATTCCTTATTAATAACATCTAAAAGAACGAACCAGAGCATAATTTCATTTTCCTCAATAAGTTCTTTATGTAACTTCACGAATATCTTAATGGCATTAAAACGATTCTTAAAATGAAATAAAACAGATTTTTAAAAAATAAAACAAGATCTTTGAAAACTGAAAAAAGGGAAAAATTGTCTTAAATCTATTTAGATAATTAAATAATTAAATTTAGCATGACGAAATGAGAGAGAGCCTTGCCAGATTCACAATGGTACCCTGGATACCTTAATCTACTAATGTCTCGTGTTTGATTTTTACAATTTCTCCGTTGCGCATGTCACTTTTGCAGAGAAACATCAAATGAAAATGAACAGTTTTCAACAAACACAAAGATATCCATGTTCTACTTGATCAGACAAACCTAAGGGCATCGTTGTTAATCGGGCATGTAGGAGGGGTACTTAAACATTATGTTTATATATTTAAAATTATTTTATAATCAGTCTTCAAGTTTATAGTAGTGTAGCTAGTATAGCATACGTATTTCTCTTTTTTCACAACGGTAATAATCTTTATCAATTGTTACTTTTTGATATTTTATTGTAAAAATGGAGTATAATTGTATTAATATGTTATTTTTAAAGAATCTAGACTTGTACGTAATGAAATATAAATGAAACTATTTGTTTATTTTTGAACTGATAAATCATGTTATGTTGATCCAATGTTGATTTCGTAGATGTACCTGATGATTCGATACATATGTACATTTTAAAATTTTTATTTGTGTATTCTTTTTATTTTTTCCTTTCTCTCAGCTGTTCAAGGCACTACTACAGCCTACAGATAGTTTGAATACTCAAATATATATAAAGATAGATAGATATAGGTATAGGTGAGACGAGTGGGGGGGGGGG